TATGGTCAATTAATATTCAACAAAGGGGGTAGAAGCATAATATGGAGTAAAAAATAGCCTCTTCAACAAATGATATTAGGAGATCTGGCCAGCTACATGCAAAAAAAAAAAAAAGAAAGAAAGAAACTCAACCACCAACTTACACCATACACAAAAATAAACTCAAGATGGATAAAAGACTTAGATATAAGTTACAACACCATAAAAGTCCTAGAGGATAACATAGGCAGTAAAATCTCAGATATTCCACGCAGCAATATTTTCACTGATATGTCCCCTGAAGCAAGGGACATAAAGGAAAGAATAAACAAATGAAACTTCATCAAAATAAGAAACTTCTGCATGGCTAAAGAAAACATCAGCAAAATGAAAAGGGAACAAACCGTATAGGAAAATATATTTGCCAATGATACCTCAGACAAGGGTTTGATCTCAAAGATATGTAAGGAACTCACATGACTCCACTCTAGGAATACAAACAATCCAATTAAAAAATGGGCAAAGGACCTGAACAGACGTTTCTCCAAGGAGGACATGCAGAGCACCTAGAGAAATATGAAAAGATGCTTATCATCACTAGCCATCAGAGAGATGCAAATTAAAACCACAATAAAATGCCACTTCACACCAGTCAGAATGGCCACCATAAACAAATTAACATAAAAAAACAAGTGCTGGCAAAGTTGTGGAGGAAAGGGAACCCTACTACACCGTTGGTGGGAATGCAGGCTTATAGTCACTGTGGAAAACAGTACAGAATTTCCTCAAAAAACTAAAAATGGAAGTGCCTTTTGACCTGGCAATTCCACTGCTGGGATTATACCCTAAGAATCCTGAAACACCAATTCAAAAGAACCTATGCACCCCAATGTTCATAACAGCATTAGTTATAGTAGCGAAGTGCTGGAGACACCTAGGTGCCCATCAATAAATGAGTGGATCAAAATATGGTACATTTACACAATAGAATAGTACGCAGCAGATAGAAAGAAGGGGCTCCTACCCTTGTGACAGCATGAATGGAACTGGAGAGCATTACGCTAAGCAAAATAAGCCAGGGGGTGAAAGACTAATACTGTATGACCTCACCTATAAGTGGAACCTAATCAACAAAACAAACAAACAAGCAAAATATAAAAGAGACACTGAAATAAAAGACAGACTGACAATAAGCAGAAGGGGAGCAGATAACAGGGGAAAGAAGGGGAAGGGTCATCAAGGAATATGTGTGAAAAGCTCATGGACAAAGCCAAAGGGTCGGTAGGACTGAGGGTGGGAGGTAGGGGCAGGCAGGGCAGGGAAAAGTAGTGGCAGGAAAATGGAGGCAACTGTGTACGTGAACAATAAAAAAACATTTTTAATAAAATTAAATAAAAATTTAAAAAATTATTTGCAAAGTTGTTTATCCAAAATTATTTTAAACTATCATTTTGTAGTTATTCATATAGTTAATGGATATTTGTATTTTTTAATGAACTGTGCATTTATTTTAATGTAATTTTCTTTAGCCTGCCTTTTAATTTCAGATTGTTTTTTCTTAGTCTATTAAATGCATTAAGCTTTTCTTAATTTTCCTTTACTGTTTGCAAAAGTTAAACATGTCAAGTAGGTATTTTATTTCATAGAATATATTGTATTTCTGGGAAAGAAAAGTGTAATCAAATTCAAATATACAAAGATCCCAATGAAATGTACACATATTTTCAATTATATATAAACAAGTAAAATTCAATCATGGGCCTACTCAGTTCACTTCAAATCACAAATACTTGAAGTATTAACACAATGCACCTAAACATTGCTACCAATTGGGTTAATATCTAAAATTTATATACAATTTATTAATACATTGTATATTTTAAGATGTATATAAATCCACTTTCATATAAAGCATTATTAAAAATAAAAATAGAACTGTATAGGAATTTATGTTGAAGCAGAATTTAAGAATAGAGAATGTATACTGGCTATAATATAATGTACACATAAACACATGTGTACATACATTTATATGGATTTAATGTGACAATGACACCCTCCCTCCAGTAATAATTAAATCTCAAGGCTGCTATTTAATATTTTACTTTTGGAAAGAATTTTAGATTCACAATGGTTAAATGGATCGTTAATCCCCATAAAGGATTAACAGAGAGTACCATTTGATTCACATGATTGAAAGTCAATATTTAGTCTATTCATTTATTAAGTCATATATTTAATAAATTGTGTTTAATCCCCTTCAATCGCAAGACAAAATACCAATACCAGGCTTTTAGACTGAAGGGTTATATATTAGAAATCACCAATTTTTAGTTCATATCTATATAACTGTCTCCATTGTTTTAATCATATTCTTGGCAATGAGTCTACCTTCTCACTGAGACTCATACAAAAAGTTTTTCTAAATCTTTCCCACTTCCCTTGCTAATGCACTAAGGAATGAAGATCTATATATCCATGGGTGAAATTAACAGATGGGATTTCATATCTGTGATTGGCAGGCTAAATGAGATTCCGGGTCAGACACACAACACCACTGGCAGAAAATGAGAAGCACAAGAGAAGTCAGGGGGTAATGGCCAGTTGTGCTTCTCATTCTCCTTGTTTCTCTGCTTTCAGGCAGAAACGCACTGTAGCAGCTGTCCCTCTCATTACCAGGCCTGCTTCTGCCCGGGCTGGGAGTGACACAGCAGGGTACTGCTGTCTGAATTGCTAACCGTCTTTTAGGCAAAGACAATCATTAAAATATTCTGACTTCAAATAGTAATTTTTTTTTGGCCCAGTGCTGTAATATAAGTGGATCAGAATACAAATTAAATGTGTAGTACTGTGCCATGCCAAATGAAGCATCTTTTTTTGTCTTTCAGTTTTTTTTCTGGTGCTTATATGCCATAGAACCATGCATATGCATACTAATGTATGACATAGTTCCATGCATGTACAGTACACAGTTTTATGTGTGTTGTTATGTATCAAAGACAGAGAGCCTTTAAAAAAAATATTTGTGTATGTGTACTGTTGACGAAGTGTTCCTAAGCAGTACTAAACATAATATCTTTTAGGTCATATTAAATGTAATATGTCTTTTTAGCATTTTTAGGGGTGAGAGGCAGTTAAATAAGAATAAATTAATATTTACAGAATTTCTCTTTTAGCTTAACATAGTGCTAGTATTTTTACTTTATTGCATTTAATTCTTTCAAAAGTTTATTATATAGGGATTATTATTTCTAAACCATGATTAAAGGCTGTGAGTTTCCAGAAGTTATGCAATTTCCCAGAAGGCAAATAGCTAATATAAGGTAAAATTGCAATTTCAGTGGGGTTTTTTCTGATTCTTAAACCTATGCTTTTTCCGATAAAAGTTGCTTAAACTGGTTATTGACCTACCATAGACCTAGAAGTGTAGGAGCATCATTGTTTCCTGAATAGTGAGATGTTCTTAAAATATGAGATGGCTACTTTTGTTTATTCCAGAGATTTGTAGACATTAGGAAACCTATTTGATGTGGTTCTTGGCTCCTTCCCCATTCCCACCCAGTAATATTAAAACATAAAACACCAATCTAGTTGTTTCTATGATTGGCTTAAGATTATTTCGTTTCTCTGACATTTCGCTTGTTCTATAAATTTGTGAAGTTGTAGAATAGTCATATTTCTCAATCTAGGGCATTTGTATTGATCTCAGAGGTCACAAATTTAAATGCCTATAGCATTCAGAGTACTTTGGAAAATAGACTGGATCTTAAAAAAAGGCAGTGTTATAAATTGGAGTCTGCAGATTCTTCATAAAGGTATTTAGATGCACTTTAATGCAGACAACAACAGTCTTAACAAAATAAAGCACGTGGATGTGAATTAATTCGACCCAAGGCAATATGTTTCATAACACTTAGTGAAAATTAAATGTTTGTTGATAGATTATTTGGGCACCTTAGCAGTGTGTATAACACTAAAATATTATCAGAATTCAGTTAAATACTTAATGTTCCGTTTCTTTAATTTTTCCCTCTGATAAAAACACTAATCATTTTCAGAGATAGTGAAGCAATTCAGTCACTGATACCTGTCTTCACAAATGCTCCTTTAAACATAAAGTGAGCAGTAAGGGAAACTATGCCTTAAGGTCCCTTTCAAAGTCATAGATGGTTATTCCTGTTTTGTAAATGAGAAAATTTTGTCACCAGGTAAACAATGTGCTAGTAAAGATTTCAGATAAACTAAATCAAATGCATCAGAAGTCTAACATTTCACAATTGATGTCAGATATTATCAGGGTTTTTTTGTGGCGAGAGGGAGTGGAAAAATAAAAGAAATTATCAACCTTTTTCATGGCGACAGGACTAAGATTTCTAAAACTCACTCTCCATTGTGAGGCCCATGGCGAGTGGGTAGGGGGTTGATTCTCTTGTGTGTGGCCAGGCTTATGTGTTCTCTCCTCTTCATTGGCCCTCCTAACTGAGCGATCTGGAGGGAGAGGCTTCTCTTTCAGGGCAGAGTGATGGGGGGAACCTCTGGGCCGAAGTTTTTCATGTGGCTTTTTCCCTTTCCTAGAACTCCCCAGCTCACCCATGATGTCCTGGTGGCCTCACTGTGCATGCGATAACTACTTGCTTCCGACAAAAACCCAGGCTTTGTGGACCACTTTTCCATGTTTCATTTTGCTTTTGCTATTTCTCCCTATTCAACACTGCAGTGTGATAGATGGGATTATGAATTAATGCTGGCCTATGGGTTGTTGCTAGGACAAAAAGGCAGGCTTTGTTTGGAAAATGACATTTGTTTTCCAGCTTTCTCCTGGAAACAGGAGAGCCTTTCCTTCTTAAGCAGAATTTTTTTTTTTTTTTTCCATGCTGAAACCATGGTAAATATTTCCAATTCATTGGTTAAAACCTAGTGCTGGCTGCATTGGACACGGTCTGTTTCAGGAAATCCCTAACAGGCTGCTGATGGGGAATCTTCTGCTGAGCACACACTCATGTGTCACTACCTTCTTATAGGAGGCGATCGAGATCGGATGACAGCAAATCATGAGAGCTACCTCCTCATGGCGAGCACCCAGAATGATATGGAAGACTGGGTGAAATCCATCCGCCGAGTCATCTGGGGACCTTTTGGAGGAGGTGAGCATATTCTTAAATCATGGAAAAACAGAAATGTAGACTAAACCTGCTCATCCTTTCCCCCAGTTAATGTTACTATCAGCTCCTATTTTCAAGTAGATGAATGTTAAAATAAATAATAAACCATTTCACATTATGATTAGACACATATCTAAGTAACTGCTGGAAGTTTGATATGAAATATCATTAATAACCAACCTTCTGTGGAGATCTTGAATTATAAAAAGGGATTATATTTTTCTTTTATTTTGGATTTTTCTATGTCACTAACAATAATAGTTATGAGACTGATAATATAAATGTAGATTAGTTAAGAACATGTAGGTGTGAGCCAAAAAAAAAAAAATTTACTAGTAGCTTTGGGAGGGATCCCAACCTGCTAGATGCTCAGTGATATTACAACAAGGAATGGCAGAGCTTTAAATGAAATGATGATGATTACTGGAATGAAAAAATGCTTTGCAATCAGGGAAGTATTTGTGGATTTGATAATAAGTTGTAAAAAAATCTTAGTTAATACAGTGTTGAGAATTCATCTTTTGAAGAATAAACTAGATGCTGTAAAACTAAAAGGAGGAAGAAAGGGTAACATGATCATTGGCTATCGAGAAATATAAAACAGAATAATATAGACAGAAAAATTACTTAAAGTAAACATTCAGTAAATGGAACCAATAAAATAAGAACCCCAAAATATTTACCTGTAACCAACATTATATGAATGTAGACTAATTATTTTATGTTGATATACTTTAAATAAATTGTGTTAAATAAAATTCATACTTAGTGGAACAATTATGATTTACATATTTATTTTATATTCTCTTATGTGTATTTTCAGCACCCTGAATTCCAAAGTGAAATTTTTTTCCCTTAACGTATCGTAGGCTTCTTAGACCGACTAACCACTTTACATTTTAGAAAAACTTCAAAAGCTTCGTTTAAAATTTGAAAAGTTAGGTTCAAGTTAAAATAGTAAAGATTCATCAACATATTGATATTTTACCAAGTTAATGATATGTATCTGCAAATGGTTTGCTTTTTAGCAATACCTTCTGTTGGGGGGGAAGTTGCTTCTTACCCAGAGTGACCATTCACCCCAGTTTGCCTGGTAACAGTCTAGTTTTACAACTGTTGTTCCAGGCTAATGATTGATAGTGCTACCTTTCACTCTCACAGTGTTTTAGTTTGGGTGACGGCTTATATGGTTACCCCTACCCCAGTGCCTTTTCAGAGGATTCCTCACATGACTACCTGTGACAGACACCTACTTAACTGCTAGAGGTTTGCTGCTACTGCCAGGGCTGTGGATTTGTGGGGAGCCTGAGATATGTCATTTCAAAGTTTCTGCTGTTTGCAAAGAGCTTCAGAAAACAGAGGGCACCTCTGTTATGAGCTTCATTGGGCTCCTCAGTTCAGGAGAATCCTTAATATCTGCTGAAGGAAGTATTTTTGTTGAGGGATTACTTCTATCAAACGTGTTTTTCTCTCTTTCCTCCTCTCCTGTCTGTCCTTTTCTCAAGAAAAATGAATGAGATTCAGTAAACTTCCCCAAATCTGTGACTATAAGAGGTCCTATCAGCCCAAGACTATCAGAAACAATCCCAGTGGCACTGGGCAAAAGCTACAAATGAATCTTCAAATTTATGATCCTGGAAGGTGAACTCTAGTAGATGATTGGTTTATATACTTTGTTCTATGGAATAGCTTCAGTGATTTACAAATGCTTGATTCATGTTTACTTTTAAAGAGAGATATTTTGGCACAGAGCACTTATAATAGAAACAATACCAAAGAATAAATCTTCTGCTCTCTTAGTTTAATTGTATGAGGTTGCAAAACAAGCATATTTTATTTTTTAAATTTTTATTTATTGATTTTTTTGAGAGAGAGAGAGACAGAAAGAGAGAGACATTAATTTGTTGTTCCACTTATGTATGCTTTCTCATTGGTTGCTTCTTCATGTGCCCTGACCTGGGATCGAGCCCCTAACCTTGGCGTATCAGGATGGCACTCTAACAACAGAGCACTGGCTAGGGCCTGTAAAGCAAGCTTTTAAAACACTCATTTAATTTATAAGAAATCCTTTGTGGTCTACCTAAAAATTGGAATTTCCTAAAGTTAATATAGAATATAGAACTGATCTAAATACTGATACTGACAGAAGACTCCAAATGTCACCCATATTCATGGGTCTCAAATTTTTGTATTCATATAATGACCCCCGGCCCTCACCAGTTAAGAATATTTTAAACCACTGTTATAGTTCCGTCTTGCATTTTATGGCTTAGGAGGCAGAATAACTTGACAAGCGTCATACTGTGAGTAACAGAAGTAGGAAGAAAATCCAGGTCTTCTGACTTGTGAGCTTCCTCCTGCTTTTTAGCACAATATTTCTGCTGTGGAGTCAAAAAAAAAAATTACAAGCCCATGCCTTAATGATAGTATAGTCTTTATTGTATGAAAAACAAACCTTTCTTAAAGTGTGATGCTTATAATGAATAGAGTTTTTCTCATCCTTCAAAAATACCAGAATTGACACCATCAAGAAAATGAAAAAACCCTCAGAATGGGAGGAAGTATTTGCAAATCATATATTGTATCCAAAATATATAATAAACACTTACAACTCAATAATAAAGACAAAACAAGATTTTTACCCAATTTGACTCATCTAAAATTAGGCAAAGAATCTAAATAAACATTTCTCCAAGGAAAATATATAAACCAATAAACACAAGAAAAGTTGCTCAATCCAAAGGTGGTACACAGTTATTAGTCATCAGGGACCTGCAAATCAAAACCACAATGGCATACCACTTCACACCCAGCGGGGCTGCTAGAATAAAAAGTCCAATTATAACAAGTATTGGCAAAATAATGAGGAAATCAAACCCTCCTAGATCATTGATGAACATGTAAAACCGTGCAGCTCCTTTGAAAAACAGTCTGTTGATTCCTCAAATGATTAAACATAATTACAACAGGACCCAACGTTTGCACTCTGAGATATATACTCAAGATAAATGAAGACATATTATATGTCCACACAAAAACTTATATTTGAATCTTTATAGCAGCATTATTCCTAATATCCAAAAAGTAGAAACACTCAGATGTTCATCAGCAGACAAATGAATAATCAAAATGTAGTAATCTCCATGAAATAGATTAGCATTCAGCCAAAAAATGGAGTGAGGTACTGATACATGCTATAACATGAATGAACTTGAAAACATTATGATGCTAAGTGTATGAAGTCACAATGACTTCTTATGATGCTACCAGTCACAAAAGACAAGATATCATATGATTTCATTCATATTAAATATAGAGCTGGCAAGCTATAGAGACAGAAAGTAGATTAGTGGTTGCTTAGGGCTGGACAGGGGGATAATAAGGTGGTGGTTGGGGAGAATTGCCAAAGATATTTTTTCGAGGTGATGACATTTTCTAAAATTAATTGTGATGATGGTTTCCTATATCTGTGATGGCATACTAAAAGCCATCTAATTATAAAATTTAAGTGGAGAAATGTATGGTATATGAATTATATTTCAATAACACTCTTAAAAAGTTCCCAAATTGCCATAAATATTTAATGTAAGAGAACACATTTCCCCTCCTGTGCTTGTATGAAACCTATGACCTGTTAATCCTAAATAAAGGCCTTTTGGCTTCCAACCTCCTTCCCACCACTCAAAGATCGTTGCCGTCACTGATTAAATGACATTGGTAAAGATATTTGGAAGGTGACATATCTCCTTGATTTATTGATTTCTCTATGCCACCTTTGGATACGTTTTAAATGTGTCTATTACAGAGAAGAGATTTCATTGTTTGTATTGCAGTTTCACAAACTATGTTTTTAAAAAGTTAAACGTTTTTCATAAGGCACCTAAGTCTCTCTTTATTCAGGTTGCATATACATGTAAAATACCCTCTCCTTACCACTCCAGAAATAGACATTTGATTACGATAGAGGAGGAGCCTGAGGAACTTACCTAGCTTTTCAGTCTCTAGAAATTAACAACTGTTAAGTGAAAATCATAAAACATAGAGCTTTTCTTTTTATTAAACAAGGAAAACTTAGACAGCAAATCATGAAATGGGGGAAGGGAGCCAATGGAAATGCAAAAAGTAGACCTCTTCTCTTAACCATCTAGCCTGATAAAGTTTGGTATTGAACCTAGATACCTCAACTTTGTGTTATCTGCTTAAAACCACCTATAAACTGTTGCTTCCCTATTAACAATGCTGAGAGGCACCTGATTTTTGCCTAACATTCAAATCCAAAAGTTGGGATTTCAAAACATTTAATTCACTTTGGAAAATTTCAGGGGGTTATTTTTGTTTTGTTTGTTTGTTTTTGTTTTACACTGGGTTTCTTTTCAACTGTTCTTGAAGCAATGTATGTTGAAGTGTCTCACCCAGGGTCCAGGGAGAGTGAGAAGCCATTAGTTGTTCCTGAGACCTGAATGATTAGCCTAATCTTCACTACCAACAAAATCAGGTTCTTCTTGCCGATTTCTGTCTCCTTATGAAAAGAGTTGAGTCAAAGACCCATAAAGGCAGTAAAAATACTGAATATGAATAATCCTCATAATGAATAATTGCATGTGGACAAGTAGGAGTAAATTACAAGGCACTGTGGCCTTGCCTCTGACACAGACCTGCTGTGTGATCTTGGAAAAGTGACCCCCTCCTCTTTAGTTTCCCTGCTTGTGAAATAAGAATATTGGACAGGACTGCTCCAGCTCGAGTCCTGTGATTGAGTCCTTGTGTCCTCTCTGGCCAATGCTGAGGTCAGTGAAGTGTTTGCTGGCCAAGCTGCCTCCCAGCCTCAGTCCAGCCCTGCCACTGTCTTAGCAGTTCTGAGTTTTACTTTGTCCCTTCTTATTTTCTTAGCTGCACGCTGTGACATGGAGCTAAAAACTATGTTTGGACTGCAGGGCATACATAACCAAGAATGATCCTTTCAGTGACAAAATATTCCTATC